GAATAAACATCCCCCACACATGCTTACCCCTAACTTCTCTCAGGGCTCTGCTCAAACATTACCCTTTCAGTGAGCCACTCCTTGACCACTCTTTAAAACTGCCAAACCCAGATACCTGGCACTCTCTCCTCTGCTTATTTTTCTTAGTATATATTTTATTGTATGCCTTGCCCTCATCCACTCCCCAACGGGTGAGCTCATCCCTCCATCCCCCAGCACAAAGCAGACATTCACCAAATACTTGTGGAAGGAATGGATGGATCAGAGGATGAATACCTGTATCTTTAGCATCTCCCAGTAATCTGCAAGCTTTGGGCTACACGAGACCTAGCTGAGCTCTAGTCTTTCCCCACCCCCAGGGGCCCCTAGCTCTTTCCCATCAGAAACCAAGCCTGTACTAGAAAGCAGGGAAGCACCTGGGTAACAGGTGCTTGTTGCTTGGATGTCAGTTCCCAGCCACCAGGCACACAATTCTGCAGAGTGCTAATTTTTTAGGTTGGCTTCCTGATATCGCACCAACAGATGAGGTGAGAGAGGTGGGTTAGGACTAAATGTACTACTCAACCTAGATAACAGTACTGACTTAGTAACAGCAGCTCATTTGCTCTGAGGTGTTTTCCAAGAGCAGTGCTAAATTTGTCCTTGTTCATTTAGCTGCCCACCCCCAACTTTTTATGACAGATTTCCAACATACACAAAAGCAGAAACAACAGTATAATGAATCTCATATACGCACTGCTCAATTTCAGCAATTTCTAATATTTTGCCAATCACTTCTTCTGTTCTCTGATCCTCTCTGCCCCTCACTACTTCATCTCTTTGCTTCCTTGGGAACAGGTCTATATAAGACAGAATGTATGTCTGACTTTATTACGACTGCAGTCTACCAGCAAATCCTTCTAGCGATATTAAGAACATAGGGAAAACACACACACACATACACACACACACCCATTCCCCCGCCAGAACAATGACTGAAAAAGGAAGTGCCTAAATTCCAGACTAATTCAAGGGACTTGTCCAATATTTGCTGGGAGGGCATTGGGGAAGGAGGTTATGGTCATAAAACATACCCATGCGCTGTTTTGACTTGTACATGACAGAATTTCTGAGTTAATTCAATCCAGTAAGAATTTACTGACTACCTTCTAATATGAGAGGCAGGAGTAAGATGACAGAAGATAAAACCTAGTCTCTGTTCTCAAGAAAGTTACAAGGTGGCTGTAGAGAAAAGGACATAAATAACTAAACCGTAAGCTAGAGTATGTTTTGCACCCTGAGACAGATGACGTAAGTAGGACAGAAGCTCCTTTTCAACCACCCTCCTGAATTTGTAGACCCCATGGCATACCCCCTCCCTAACTGTAGTTTCACCTCTTGCTGTATTTATTGCTACAGCAGTAAGTGCATTATAGGAGACTTGAGAATTTGACCACAAAATCTGAGCACAAAACAGGCTTTCAGATGTGCGGATCTTTAATGTCACATTGGCTACTCACCATCCAGCTTCCGGTGGGAGGGGAGTGGAAAGTCCTGCTAAGGGCTTGGGAAACAATGGGGCTAATTCAATGCTAGGGAAGCCTGGCACTCAAAGCATTCTACCCCAAGGGCATATATGGCAAGCAGCTTCATAAACAGGACAGTGGGAGCGTGTCCAGGAGACATAGCCAGATGGGTCCTGAAGGATTTCCAAGAGCTCTCTCTTTGCTACCTAAAGAACTGAGATCTTGGTGATCAGTTTCCAAAGAAGAATATATTGTAGCTCTTTGCAAAAACCAAAGAGGTTGATGAAGTTGGTGAGTAGGACGAAGTGCATTAACACTGATGAGGTAAAAATCTGTATAACCAACATCCACTAATAAATAAATGTGAAACAAGATTGGTGAGGGGAGAGTGGATGGTTAGGGAGACAAATGAGAGGGAAGACAAAAGGAGGGGGTGCTGGGAAAACGACAATTTTGGGTTGAAAAGGTGATTCTTGGTAAAAATACGGGAAGATGCCAAGAGATCAGGATATCGGGTAGGGGTGTACAGAGGAAGGGTCTCAGGAAGAAAGACAGATATAGGTTATAACAGATGGGTCCATGCTGGCATGGAGGGACTCACTTCTCGAGGCTGAGCTATCAGGTCACTGGATGAAGGGCTAATCAGATGAGTTACAAGGAACAGGATGTGGCTGAGGATGGTACAAGTGGAAGAAACCAGAACTCTGCTACTAAAACTAGGAAGGGATCATAAGAAGAAAGACTAGGATTGAGGTCTTATATGGATTTGTGGGCTCCTGGGGGCGCGGGTAGTGACTAGAGGTAAAGTCAGTGTGGCGTGAGACACTTTGGGGTGAGATCATGGGCAAAGGCTAGGAACTCCAAGAACTGCTACAGAGGCAAAGGAGGTAATAGGTACAGTTCATTGGGTTCAGGCCATACTACTTCAAAACATGGCAATTTGAGAAAATGACAGAAGCAGGAAGGTCACTATCACCTCTCCTATGCTGAAGCAGGTGATAAAACACTCATGTGATAGGTGCCCTACTCTCTAAGGAGTGTCCTTATTTTTGAAGACACAGGATTAGAGAGAACCTGAACAAACAGGGTGTGCTGAATTTCCCTGTTTATTACCACTAGATTACATCCTTTTGGCCTTACTGTCTCTCTCTACATATCTACTCTTCAAAACCAGCATTAAAATACAGGTTTAACCTTTTCTTTAGGTCTTATTGAAGACTCCTGTGCCTTATAACCATTATAGTAAATACATCTGTCTTTTTCTCTTGTTGATCAAATCTTTTGATTTTTTATTATAGGAGCCTTAGCTATAAATTTAAAAAGACATTTTCCTCCTGTACAAGGTGCAGGGGTCTCAGGAATGAAAGGGCCAAAAGCCATGGATAGGACGGGTCTTACCACACCATGCGGCAAAAGGTCCTAGGAATCTGTGGATCATGGAATGAGCTGATGTTGGGTTTAAGAATTACCAGAAAATAAGAAACAGGGCTGATGACATGGAAAACTAGGTAGATCTGGGGGTAAGGGGTAAGAGAAACAACGAAATACAGTGTTGTGTTTTTTAGACTAGACTCAAATCCCAGCCCTGCTATTAGCTGTACAAGTTTTGGATTTATTTAAAACAAAGCCAAGCCAGGTGTGGTGGTGCATACCTGTAATCCCAGCACTCAGGAGGCTGAGACAGGAGGACCAATGAGTCTGAGGCCAACCTGGGCTACAAAGTGAGTTCATTATGCAGCCTGAACTGCATACTGAAATCCTGTCTCAAAAAGGCAAAAAAACCAAAACCAAAACCAAACCAATAAAGGTGGGAGGAAAAGGGGCTGGGGATTTAGCTCAGCAGCACAGCGCCTGCCTGGCAAGCGCAACGTCATGAGTTCGATTCCTGGTAGCAGAAAAAAATAAAAATAAAAAAAACCAAAAAAAAAAAAAATGGGAGGAATGGTCATGGACATAATTGCCTCTTGGGCTTGCTGAAAGCTTGGAATACAGTAGGTGGTCAGTAAACCAATCATTAAGGCAGTATCAGGGTAAATAACTAGGGAGGCAAGAATGCTTCAGTAGAGATAAGGATGAGGATTTCAAGACGTCAGCAGTTGTGCAATGTATGGGTCTACCGTTCTCTGTCGACCCCTTAGAATCTAGGACAGAGTAAGACCTACAGGAGCTCCTGAGTGAAAACAAGATTCCCCAGGTGCCAAGCACTCGGCGCATGTTATCCCAGGCACTGCTTCCACCCTCGCTTCGCAGAAGGCTTCGGATGGGCTAATGAGTATGCCAAAGGTCCCACAGCTGAAGGGCCAGTTAGACCGGAACCCAGGTTTCTGACATCAAGGCCCCAAGCTGAAGCACTCTGCTAATACTACTTTGCAAACCTGATCAACAGTAATAAGTGTGGACAATTGAAAATGTAGGGGGTTAAGGGAATGTGGGAGAAAATTTCATGAAGCAAATGGACCCTGTGCTGAAGTTACAAGATTAAACTTCTAGAGTAGGGAACAAAAATGATTGCAAACTACTGTTATCTTGACTGAGAACTGCAAAATTTCACAATAGGAAGGGGACTCTTGAGATCATCTAGCCCCTTATTTGAGGGGCTGGGGATTTAGCTCAGAGGCACAGCGCCTGCCTGGCCAGCGCAAGGTCGTGAGTTCGATTCCCAGTACCGGAAAACAAAACAAAACAAAAAAAACCCAAAAACAATTTTGATAAGAAACGGATGCTCAAGAGTGAGGAAGGAGCTTCTCCCAGGTTTCCAAAAGCGGAGCCAGGACTTGAACCTGAGACTCCAGAATTCTCTGACGTCTCTAATTACTGCTCCTTGAGATTCATCTCTATATCCTCAGTGCCAGAATGAGGCTGGACACTTGTTGTAAGTCACAGTGCTGACTGACACCAGGGGTCTCGGGGGGCAGAGTGATGCCAGTGGGGGTGATTTTAGGATGAAGGGAGAACATGGAATAGAAAACCATGGGGCTAGGGGACACTGTTATGTAGACGAGTGGGTGGTAAACCACGTTAAGTGTGGCTCGGGAGTTGTCAGGAGCGGTTTGAGGGACAATCATTGTGGGGGACACAGGGTAGAGTCTGGGAGTCACTAGAGGAACGCGGGGCACTTGGGCCTTTCGGAGTCACTGATTCAAACTGAGGGAGTCATCGAACTGTGACCCCTGGGAAGCGCTGGGGTGGCAATCAATGAGCGATGCAGGGTTACCGTGAGGTTTGGGGCCAGCGGGTGAGGTGTAGGGGTCACAGAGGTGAACACAGGCACTATCAAGAAGTGGGTCTGGGAGCCACGGGGGTGCAGTCGCAGGGCGGGACGGAGGGGCAGGGGCCCTGGGAGGGGTGGGGGCCAGGCCGCCGTCCAGGGGCCCGGCCGCCGGGCTGGGGCCGGAGAAGGGTGGGCACTACGGGCTCGGGACCTTCCCAGGGCCCTGCGCCCGCCCGGCCTCCCGCTCTGGGCACGGTGGACCCACTCTTCCCGCAGCCACCAACCTGACAGTCCCTGAGGGCGATTCCGCCGACAGACCGCCATGCACCGGGCCCCGCCACCAGCGCCGGCCCCGCAACCCGCCTGCGCCATAGCCCGCCCGCCCGCGCGCGGCTTGCCTCGCGCGATATCCAGGTTCCAGGGCCGCCGCACTTCCCTCCGCTCTCGGCGCGCCTCCACCGGGCCCCGGAACCAGTGTAGGAAATAGAGGGCACGCTCCACCCCGCCCCCCCTTCGCCGCGGCGCCTGGCCCACTTATCCCGGTTCCGGGGCCCCAGGAGCCCGGGCAACCCAGCTCCGAACCGGCTGAGCCCCAAGGCGCCCGGCGCCCCGCCCCCTCCCGCCGGATGACGCACGCCTGCGAGGCCAAGCGCCCGAGGAGGACGTGTGACGTCATCACGCCGAGGCGGGGCCCGGGAGCGGCGCCAAGCCCGTCGTCGCTATAGCAACTGGGACAGCCACCGGGAGGACTCCGGAGTTCGGTCCACCTGAGGCAGTACCGGAGGGGCCCGAGGGGAGAAGATTGTAGGGACGCAGCGCGCCGGCTTTGCCAACCTCTGAAGGACGCAACTGCAGGTAACGGTAGTCCGTGTTGGAAAGGACGGTGTGGAGGCGCGGTGAGGGACTCGCCCTTAGGGACGGCGCCCCTACGGGCCTCTCAGGTTCTGTCTCTCTCGCTCCGCTCAGCACCCCTCGCAGCCTCAAAACCAGCTGCTCCCCTTGGTAGGCTTGCAACGGGGTACGCAAACCGAACCCTCCTGTTAGTTAGTACCCCCTCCGCGCAGGGAGGGGCCGCCAATGGGGCGTTTTCGGAAACCTGAGGGAAAATGAAAAGGAGAGTGAACTTTCCAGAATAAATAAATGTAATAAATGAATACGGAGCGTGGAAGAGCTGGTTAAGATTGCTTCTTAAAAGGGGCGCTTGAACCGAACCGAGCGCGGTGGCGCACGCGGGAATGGCCGCGCGCAGGTGAGGCTGAGGCAAGAGATCACAGCTTGGAGTCCTATGGGGCGGGTGAGCCTTAGCGCCGTAACAAGACCCTGTCTCAACGTAAGACATTTAAAAAATAAAGGAACTGGGTGCCTGGAGAAATGGAGCGAGGAACTTTTCCCACGCCATCCTTTCAGGCTTTGACTCGTTTCTTTTGTATCCTCCACCCCCTCCCCCGCCAAAATTTATTTTTATATTTTTGGCAGCAGCACTGGGGATTAAACCCAGGGCCTTATGCTAAGCTACATCTCCAGACCTCTTGTTCAGATTTACACATTTTCAGACAGGATCTCCCGGCACTGACTCTGGAGTAACCAGGATTACAAGTGTGCGTCAGGTGCCCAGCACTTTTTTTTCCCCACCTTCGGTGAGGGTTGAAGCCAGGGCGTTCCCCACCTGTATCCCCGGCCCCTTTTTATTTTTTTATTTGAGACAAGGTCTCACTAAGTCTGTAGGTTGCCCAGGATGGTCTCGAATTTGGTGATCCTCCTGACTCAGCTTCCCAGAGTGCTGGGATTACAGCTGTGCACAATACCGCGCTAAAAGTATTTTTAAAATAATTTTATATTTTTATTAGTATATGTTTGCAGCACATAATGATTACATTCTTCGTGGGGAGTTGGTACACGTGCATAGCACATCTTAATTTTTTTTATCCCCTTCCCCTCCTTTTCCTCCCCCCCCCCGCGAAAATTTTTAAAGAAAGTAAATTTGACTGACAGGCACTTGAGCCACTGAGGTATATCCCCAACCCAAGAAAGTAAATTTGAAACATTTACAAACACTGGATTTGGGCAAACTCTTCCTTAATGGAAATTTTACAGACTCCCTTTCTTCTTCAATTCCTAATTCATCCACTTCCTGTAATTATTAGTATACGATTTACTAAACAACACATATATTATGCATTTTTATAACTTGTGAATCCTAAAAGGGTTAGTTTTCATGTACCTCTTAATGAGTAATATGGTGAATATTACTTGACACTAGAAGGAGATAAAACGTACTTCCAATTCTCTACAGGATTTTAAAATTTTTCTAGACTTGAGTGTTAAGAAACCTTGTTCACATAATTAGGAAAGAAAGATATATTTTACAATGATATTCTTTAAGTCTTTGAACTTCCAAATTATATACCAATAGTTACAATGTGCTCTATTATTAAATACTGTCAAAGAGATTTTTCTTTGATTTTACTAAAAGCAAAGAATTGGAAACCACCCAACTTGCAAAAGGATATAGCAGTCATTAGAATCTCAGTTTTAGTTTTATGAAAAATGATATTACCTCTTACCTTTTCACTGAGAGATACTTTGTTTCTTGTTTTGTTTGTTTGTTTGTTGGTACTGGGAATTGAACTCAGGACCTCACACTTGCCAGGCAAGTGCTTTGCCCCTGAGGTATACCTCCAGTAAGATACTTTGTTAAACAGATACTGTATTCCATACTTCTTTGTCAATTGTTTTCATTTTTTAAAATTTTTTTGTGTGGCGCAGGGTGTGGAACCCAGGTTTGCCCTGACCTACATCCTCAACCTTTTTTTATTTTTTTAAATTTTGAGACAAGGTCTTGCTAAATTGCTGAGTTGCCCAGGCTGGTCTTAAAATTTGCTGGGATTAAAAGCGTGCATTACAATGCCAGCCAATATAACCTTTTAATTTTTTTGATAAACTTTTTTTATCATTACATACTTTCAAGATCATTTTGTTAAAAAAATTTTTGTTTTGTCTTTTTGAGACAGAGTCTTGCTATGCAGTTTAGGCTGGCCTTGAGCTCACTTTGTAGCCCAGGCTGGTCTTGAACTCACAACGATCCTCCTGCCTCAGCCTCCCGAGTGCTGGGATTACATTTTGTTAAACATTTGAAGCGCAGATTCAGACCATTCATTGTATAGAAAACATATGCCATTTGTGGAATTGGCAAACCCAGTCTTCCTTTTAAACCAAATCAGCCTTACTGTCAGGAAAGTCTGACTTTATTCTTTAATTTGAATAAATGTTAATATTCATCTTGAAGAATACATAAAAATCACCGGAAAATAAGTTATCAACGGTACTTTATAAAATAATTACTAAAAACCATCAAGATTAAAAATTGTATAGCACTAATATTTACATAGTAAGTGATAAAAAGAAGATAGGACCATATGATATAATGCTAAAGCTATCTCTTTTGAGAAATGAGATAAAAGGCATGTTATCGCCTTGGTAAACATGTGGCCCTGCTTTTGTCAAACGAATGTTCAACTTTTGGGAACACTGAAATAAGAATCTTGTCTTAAAAAAATCAAGAATAACTCCAATAATTTTGTTAGACTTCATGATTAAACTTTCTTATGTTTTTTTTTTTTGTTTGTTTGTTTTTTTTTTGGTTTTTCTCCGGTACCGGGAACCGAACTCACGACCTCGCACTTGCCAGGCAGGCGCTTTGCCGCTGAGCTAAATCCCCAGCCCCTCTTATGTGTTTTAAAAAAGATTTGATAAGAAACAATGGGGCTGAGAAGCTAGCAAACAATGTCATTCTTTGCTAGTAGGAAGTAGAATTAAACATTTTAAAAGACGACAAACAGAGTACAAAAGCCAATTGCTCCTGCTTTTGAGATCATTGTGGGAACATCAGCTATAATCAGAAAGTTCCAGAGTGTGGACCTTGAACAGAGCTATTTTCTTCAAGCTATGATAGCCAAATGTGTACTGACTGGCATATAAGAGATTGGTAATTGTGGAATGAATGCATCTATCTTCATTATAAATGCTAGTAAGAGGAAGTTCAAGATTCTGGTAGGCCAGCCCAATGTATTTTCTGGTCAGATAATTTTTTTTCCTGTTCCTCAAGTCATACTCATAAATGTATATATAATATAGATATTAGAGCCAATAAAATTTCATGTCAGTGTTTTACATAATTGTATTAACTTGCCTATCATCTCTGAGCCTAGAAATTGGGACTGTTCATTTATAAGAGATTAAAGATTGCTTTCCTATGCTCTGTAGGAGTAGTGATGACATAGTCTCTTTGGTGGCCAAGAATATATTATATAAAAGCAATACTGTGGGATGACCCTCAGTGTTAGAGGTGGGACGTCTTAACCAGGGAGGTGTCTGAACCACCTGTGGTCTGGCCAGCTTTTGGGAGCTATACTGTGGTGGGGAGGAACAATACTCTAA